GGGTTTGTCAAGCTTAGCATCGATATCTCATTTATAGAAAAATTAGCGACTGAGACTGAACCAATAAAAAGATTTCAAGTAAAAATATATTTTGTTTTGGACCCTGAGCAAGACCACAGGTCAATTTTTTCGAGGAAAAATGTAAGGCGCAAAAAGAATTGAAATGCGCGTAAGTAGAGTCACGTTTCATTGCCCATTAAAAAAAAATATTAGTTTGAACACAAATCATATTTTTCTGATCAAAGTGTACATAATGATGGCCAAATTTATACAGAATCATATGCATTGGGAATAGTTTTGTAGGAAGTTCTCAATTTGTTAGTATTTTGAGATTTGAAAAGAATACACTTCTGTAGTAGCTTTGAAAAACGTTATCGTTTGACACATGCATATTAATGATTAGGAACGAAATGATAAGGTTTTTTATAGATGGAAAAGATCGTTGAAAGAGCAGTATTTTTAGCTAGTCTATTACTGAAAACCGATGAAATGAGAAACACAAAAAATGGATAATTTTGTTTTTGATAGACTTGTTCTTGAATAGGAGCGACCCTTTAACTTAAAAAGTACATCGAGAAAGTGGTTAAAGTTAAAGTAAAATATTTTAACGTGAAAGTTAAAGTTACAGTAGAATATTTTAACTTCAAACTTTAACTTTAAAATTAAGTTTAAGCGCCATGCCTATGCTTCAACGAATCAATGTAGAATGTAATGCTTTATCTGATGAGATTATCCTGAAATGAAAACGGTATAGTCGTATAAATGTATGAGCAAGATTTTTCACGATTTCGTTAGACGACGATAGGTTGACGCAGCATTTCGAACCATCATCATTTTAGACAAGTGAGTCAATTTTGTACCTACAGTGACACAGAACAAAAACTCCTCTTCAAGAGCAAAGCACATTTCGAATAACATTTTAAAGTGCATACGATCTTTTAAGTCTCCCCCCTCGAAAAAAGTCACTTTTCGTCAGAATGATCGAAATTGAGATAAATGCATGGGGGAAAAGCCTTTGGTCTGCTCTTTCATAAACGACAAACATTTTTACTCGACAACTCTTTTTTTCCAAATGTCCTAGAAATTTTTCATCATCCTCTATTCGAAAAACAAGCCGTTTTTACAAAAGACCGAAAATTCTTTTTCGTTTTTCTCAGAACGTGGGTTCGACGATGTATCTCGAACGCCATTCTATCATAGTACGAGATAAAGTCAAATAGTTTTTTTGAAAGCTTGTATCTAGAGCTAGCTCCCCTCGTGGCCCTTTTTTAAAAATACGCCTTTTAGTATCATATAAGAGAACATCTCTATGGAAACAGCGCCATTCTTTTAGGAATTTTTCGGGTTATTAAACTTGTCATTCCTTTTCTTGTCTTAAAAATTAAGAATTTAAAAAAACGGCCATGGGACGGGCTCCATTCTGACATGCTCTTTCAAACAAAAAAATTAAATGACTATGATGAAGACCCACAGAGAAAACTTGGAGATACTATTGAGCTATTTTGGGCTCTTGTTTCGTGAATATCTCTGTTAAATATCGTGCTATATGGCTATAAATTTTACCACAGCCATGACTCACCAGTCCCAACATATCCTGAAGGTTTCATACAATTTGGATGTTCCTAGTCTGAGACCGATTTTTGAGGAGGGGGGGGGGGAGCTTCATACATGGACATTGGAGAACCGAGTGTATTTAATGAAGGGTGAAAATTTCGTTGATGTAGACTGATTTTAGATGAAAGAATGCATTTTCAAGACATTCTTTCTAGCCCAACTATGAATATCTATTTGATAAATGGCAACCCGATCAAATATTCTTTATTTAAAGTATTTTCTTTCTCGTAAACACATGGATATTTTGTATTTCTCATTTCATTGGTTTTCAGTAATAGACTAGCTAAAAATACTGCTCTTTCAACGATCTTTTCCATCTATAAAAAACCTTATCATTTCGTTCCTAATCATTAATATGCATGTGTCAAACGATAACGCTTTTCAAAGCTACTACAGAAGTGTATTCTTTTCAAATCTCAAAATACTAACAAATTGAGAACTTCCTACAAAACTATTCCCAATGCATATGATTCTGTGTAAATTTGGCCATCATTATGTACACTTTGATCAGAAAAATATGATTTGTGTTCAAACTAATAATTTTTTCTTAATGGGCAACGAAACGTGACTCTACTTACGCGCATTTCAATTCCTTTTGCGCCTTACATTTTTCCTCGAAAAAATTGACCTGTGGTCTTGCTCAGGGTCCAAAACAAAATATATTTTTACTTGAAATCTTTTTATTGGTTCAGTCTCAGTCGCTAATTTTTCTATAAATGAGATATCGATGCCAAGCTTGACAAACCCATGTAGGTTTCGTTAAAATTCTCGGGTAACACTTGGGGACCTTCGCTCATTAGTAGATTTTCTAATGTCTAGAAAGTGCTCCAAATACTAAATGCAATTCGAAATTCTAGGAATGCCCGTGTGAATTCACTTTCGATTTTCTAATTAGAAAATCAAATTTCTTATTCTTAATGTTTCAAATATCTTATTTTCAAAGAATTAAAAGTTCACCGGTGAATTCATATGGCATTCCTAGGATATCCTTCATTAAACTCTATAACTTATTTTCTAGTTTACAGTGTACAATAGATCTAACAGTAGTGGGAGTCATAAATTCATAGAGTTGTGCTCTCTTTTGATCTTTCATTGATGATCGAGTTGTTGAGAAAGAGTTGAAATCAACAATTTTCATGATGGGTCGGTATGAACAGTTTTCGTTGACGTTTGTTCAATGTGCAACATAGAGATACATGTAGTTGTATTTGAACGTATCGAAATTGAATTAATTCTTACCATGGTTGTTGTATGACGATTCTTATATGAATGACAATGATCGACATCTAAAGTATATCGTTGTGTCATTTTCTTCTCCACAGTAGTCGATTTTAATTTCACGCGTGCAATATTTACTATAACATTTTTCATGTCATTTCGTTTTTTTTCATTAGCTGATGGTCTATTGATTGTTTCACAAGCAATCGTCGTCTATGTTGTTGCATTGGATTTATCTGAAACATAAACTACAATCACAGTGACATTTATACCAAAAAGAATGAGATCTATATTGAATACAAATAAAAGAATGCCAACATGAAACAAATAAAAAGAACATGAATGATGTCCAATCGGACGATATTACATGAAACAAGACAGGATCTCGTTATGCTGTTTTTGTTTTTATGTGAGACAATTGAACTTTGTATTTGTTGATACATGCAAGATGTGCATCACTATTTGCCAAATGCTGTTCAATCAAATAAACTCTTGTTGGAGTTAATCGTTTTTTGAATGGCAGTGCTCTTTCAATTCGTCATATCTGAACAATTTGCATATTGTATTTTTTTTGACATTGACGCATTTGTCCTCCGATTGTATACATATAGAGTGGCGCTAGAACAGATCGTCGCAGGACAATTCATTGCATGGACCAAACGTCGTATGGACAAAACGCTGCAACGTTTCATGATGCCAGATAATTCTCTAAATGAAGTCGACTTCTCAAAATATCATATAAGAGTATGGCTTTTAGGGTGTAGGCACATGTTCCTAGTTTAGTAGTAGGTACATGATTTACGGTTTCGGGTGTGAATGTTGAGTTTGAGTTTGAGTATTATTGTAGATTTAGGCGCAACTGTTGGTGTGTTTTGAGGACCACGGGTGAATCTTCTGTTAGGCTAGCTATAACTATCTGCACTACATACCTCACATCTGCAGATACATACGCAAATTCACCTACACGTATCCACACGTCACACTCGCATCCTGAACCGCTGCATCTACTCCCACACCCTTGCATTTTACTTTATGAAGTCCACTTCAGATATAGAAATATCTAGCATAATGAAACGTTTCAGCGTTTTGTCCATAGGATGTTTTATTCGTGCAACATTGTGTCCATGCAACCTCTTGTTCTGGCGACATTTTATCCTTGCAACGAATTGTCCTGCAACGATCTGTGCGGTCGCCTATAGAGTGTCAGGATATCAAGTCTTACTTTTTCAGCGACTTCTGTGTATGGTTGGTATAATTTTTCTCGCATCATTGTAGTATCAATACTATCCTCGAGAGAGGATTTGCGATCGTGTGATTTTGTAAAGAATTCGAAGCCCAATGTAGAGTACAAAATTGTTGAAGGAAATTCAATTCATATTTTGTGATGGCTTCCTCATATTTGAACTTACAGAGATGTTTCAGTAATTGCATCTAATCAGAGTAAAACACTATAAAGAAAATGATTTGTCAATTCATAACGATGTCATTCTATGAAATGTTACTCGATTTTTATTGGGACTCTCACTTATGAATTGACGTTTGAGTATTCCATGGATGTAATAATATTGAACTAATGTTATTTGACAATCATATTCAAGATATTACACGTATGTCAAACTTGAGACTTGAGTTCGAGTACTGAAATATTCATTCGAAGAATAGTTGAAGTTCGAGTATTCCACTGCCCAAATCTAGACTGACCTAAATGCTCCAAACTCATACACCACACGTTGACCCACGTCCTACTTTCCCTATACAGGTGCGTACATCAACAGAAACGACTAATGTGCAGATAGAGATGCACCAAATAAACATCATATGGAGATACACACGCTTTCACATTGCCTTTTTTTCCGTACAGTACGATTTTGTTTGACATTCGCCGCACCGCGTGGACATAGTTTAATAGACATCACAAAGTTCATTCAGAATGTGTGTTTCAAACGTTTTTAAAACTGCGCAGGCATAACATAAAGATGATGTTTACAAAAAATAACAAAAATGCTAACTTTCATGAGTTTAAAGATGTTTTGAGATGTTACTCCGTTGACATAAGCAGAAAACGAGATAGGCTTATCTTTAACGTGCATATAAAAGGTATGACAAATGCAACCAAACTCAATTTGTCAAGTTTGCAAACGAAAAATTGTTGAAACATTATCACCAATATGACTCGTACTGGCTTTGACTTCCCAGCATTGCTTCCTCGCTTGATATATCCTGAATTTGAATTGGCACCTGATGAGCCTACTTACGATCCTGATATACATTTGTCTCTGACTGAACCTGATTTTGCCGTTCTACTCGACGGTTTTCGACGCGTTTCCAGGGCACCTAAACTTGATCAGCCTATAGCACCTAACGGGGATAGTCAACTGGCCTACACCGGCCCATTTCGGCTTCTGAGTGATGAAGGCTATCGAGTTCTGCGTAAAATCATTCAACGTGAACTTCAGCATGAAATGGGTGATGAGCGTCAGCCGGCTTATGTTTGTTACAATGGCTATCGCAGCAAATGGATTCAAGATTTCAATCGGTGTCCACATGTTCTCGAACATCTGTCACGCATGACTGGAGATGTTCAGCTCCTTCCAACGGCACTTCAGTCTACTTATAGTCATATCAATATCGGTCGTGCGACCAAAAAAAATATTGATGCCTGGCACTGCGATAGTGTGCCCTATGTTCTCATTCTGCTTGCCTCCGATATGAATCAAACGGTCGGCGGTGAACTTCAGCTTATCGAACGCGAACCCAAAGAAGCCTTTCGTCTCATTGACAAATATAAGGGTCAAGTGCCAAAAGATTTGATTCGACCAATCGACTATCTTGGTCCGAATTCATGTGTGTTCATGCAAGGTGAGTATTTAGAAAGACATTCATTCACAAAAATTACCAATTAGATATTCAGGTAGCCATATATCACATCGAGTCACCGGTATTCAATCTTGTTCAGAGCTTCGTTTCACTGTTGTTAATTCTTATGTATCAACGAATCCTTTTGCAGAAGAATATACACGATATGACACATTTCGAAATGAGGTTACAGCCGATTTGGAATTTGCAATGCACAAGACATGGCGTGCAAACGCTCAAATGCTGGATCTAGCCGTTAACGGTCATCCATGGCCAACACGCCAACAAATAGTCGATCATCTCACAATGGCTATTAACGAATTGACCCAGTGCCGTGATCTACTTCTAGGCATCAAATCTGATCGATTGGGTTATTATGACGAAAAGAAACAAACGATGGGCAGCTATGATATACCTCCATCCAAATCCGATAAGAATGACCAATCAAATCATTGTTAATGTACCACTAGTACTCAGAACAATGTAAAAATTATTTCATATATATTTACTATGAAACATTGTAGTCTTCAATGAACTCTCAACTTTGCTTTTCCGAAACCGATTATGTCGAAAATTCAATAATAAGAGAACATTATATAAATGTGCTTGGATTAAAAAAATTAGAGAACTTCGGAGTTGATCTGATCGATGCTTTTTGTCTTATTTATTTAATTATTGAAACATTAATCAGGGCTTTCCATCAGTAAGCACAAAGGGGAAGAACAAAGCAAGAGAGCAGAACTTTAAAGTTACAAAGTAATGAACATCGGATGTAGGGATGCAACGGTGGCGATTAGTCACCGCTTGATCGTAGCAATCGGTAACCGCTTCAGCGGAAACCGCTCCACCGGTAACCGGTGTGAACCGGTAACCGTTTCACCGGTAACCGGTGTGAACCGGTAACCGTTTCACCGGTAACCGGTGTGAACCGGTAACCGTTTCACCGGTAACCGGTGTGAACCGGTAACCGTTTCACCGGTAACCGGTTCAGATCGGTTATCGTTCCACTCACATATTGTTTTACGTTTGGAGCTATATCTTGAATAAAATTTTTATAAAAAAAAATTTTTGAAAAAAA